AGACAGACAGACAGACAGACAGACAGACAGACAGACAGACAGACATAATATGAACATAAATAGGGGAACAGGGAGGCAGGGAGTCGGAGAGACAGGCACAGAGACAAAATGGACAAAGACCGAGAAATGTAAAAGTAAATAATATGTTAAACAAACATTGACAAACTGAACACATATTGTTGTTGTTGTTGTTGTTGTTGTTATCGATCCAGCAACATCTGGGCTCTCGCCCTTCTGTTCAATGCCATGTAGTGATAAGTGCAGGTTTGCTGCAGTTGCTGTAATGTTCCGTAGAGTGTGTATCTCGAAGTTAGGGGTCGGAGGGAGAAGTGTAGCTCTGATGTCATTTAGGGCTGTACAGTGGAAAAGGTGATGTTCCACTGTCTCATATGCATAACCACACAAAGGACACATTGGAGGAAGTTCTGGTTTTATTCTGTTCAAGTGAAAGTTGAGCTGTATATGTTCTGTTCGTAGGCGGAAGATCGTGGTCTCTTTCTTTCTCTGTAGGTGGTTGATATTGTCATTTCGTTTTGTTGTAGTCATATGTTTGAAAACTGCTCTGCCCGTCTTTGCCAAGGCCCATCTGCTCATCCAATCTTATTTGCTGTTGCTTTTAATGATTTGTTTTGCAGTGTTGTATGAAGTTGGAATGTTGGTTTGTTCCTGTCTAGATCCCCTTTTGGCGAGTGTGTCTGCTCTGAACACATATTAAAACGGACTTAAAGCAACTCTAATACAGCTAAAAAGACATATTAATAATACTATTATTTCTAAAAATTCCCCAGAATAGCGCCTATACCAGCAACTAAGCAGGAACCTTTATAAACCCAACAAATCTAATCATATCAGGAGACATTCTCAGGAGACATTTTCAGCTACCTGGGAAGGGTGGTGTGTAAGCTGCCATTTTGCAGGCGCTCAAAAATAAATTGTACTGACACGCTCATTATTAATGTTTAAGTCGGTTTCCCGTGCCCACCTGGGTGAGTGAGTAAAATGTGTGTCTTGTTTATAGTGTCTGTCACAAGGACGCAGCTTTGGCACACACAGGGATTTGAACTGGCAACTTCGTTTTTGCAGGCCCAATTATACAACCAATGGCACATGTGTGTCTAAAAGATAGATAGATAGATAGATAGATAGATAGATAGATAGATAGATAGATAGATAGATACAGACAGACAGATTGACTGAGATACCTAGAGACAGACAGAAATGCAGACAGACAAATAATTTTTTAAAAAATTTAAAAATACAAGCTGGGCCCCCTTTCGATGAAAGGAATGATCGGTGCATTAAAATCAACCGAAAGTCATAGGCCTACTATTATTTATACTCTACTGGAATGGAGCAATAAATCTTGAGAGAAAAGTGACACATGTGTTTCCAAGTTGCCAAATATATAATAGACAAAGGAGTCCAGAAAAAGCGATGATGGGCATCAAACGAAAGGATCACAGTCGAATTTAGCACCAAATAAAAAAAGAAAACATGAGGCTAGATCTACACGGGTCGCAAACTTAAAATAGTGCTCAGTATTTGCCGACAACGCACGCTAGTATCGAACGGAAGTACGACTTGAAATAATAAACAAACCTGGCGGATTTTCTAAAATTACAGAGACAGAAGCGTCGGCCTAGAAAAGTGATCGGTGAAGTAAAGAAATTTAGCTTTTAGCAGAAAAACTGTCTCAAAAACCAGAAAAACCAAGGGCGTCATGATCCGGAGAATATTTTAAATAATCTATTGGCGAAAACCGCATGTTGTTCAATGCAGCCATTAAAGAGCCTTTAGAATAGTAAAATTCGGCCACCAGCGCACACAAGTGATGTATCCTCTCACTGTATAACAATATCCGCCATCGAGACAAAGCTGTTTACATAACCAAGTAATAACTATTGAACAATTTGTCTTCTTGAATACAAATACATTTAAAAAGCAAATTATCATTACTAATCAAAATCGTAATACATCAAAATTAAAGCAATTACAATAATCTTGTCTTAGCAAAAGTAGGCTGAAGAGACTAAAATTCTCCCTTTGTAAACAATTTTACTACGTTGAAAAAGTTTTTGGTAAATCGTTTCCAAAGAGAAGAAAAATATTGACCAATTATTGAAGTAACAATTTATTTAATTGATTGTGCCCCTTGGCAATGCTTTGTTTATAAATTATATAGCCTTCTGGTGTTTTCTCTCCCTAGTTAGAGCTCAGGGGCTCTGGGATTTCCCGAATGATATGTCGCTTACCCATAGATTTGAATTATAACATAACTAGCTGGGTTTCCCGATCGATGAACGGACTCAAAAGAATCGGTCGTCAAGTCATTGTGGGATCAGTACGAATACGTACTCCTTGTGAACGAAAGACTCACCTGTTTACAATGGTGTCTTAGAAGACAGACTTTCCCAAGATTAGATCTAAACGAAATTAATGAAAAACTGAAAATTAAACTACAGTGACTTCAGACTTTTTAATATAACTGTGCATCCTTTAAATGATTCTAAACCACAGTTATTTTATAGACATCAAACGAAAGAATCACAGTCGAATTTAGCACCAAGTAAAAAAAGAAAACATGAGGCTAGATCTGGGTCGCACACTTAAAATAGTGTTCAGTATTGCGCGACAATGCGCGATAGTATCGAACGGAAGTACGACTTGAAATAAACAAACCTGGCGGATGTTCTAAAATTACAGAGACAGAAGCGTCGGCCAACAAAAGCGATCGACGAAATAAAGAAATTTAGATTTTTGCAATAAAACTGTTTCAAAACTGAAAAAACCAAGGGCGTCATGATCTGGAGAATATTTTAAGAAATCTTTTGGCGAAAACCGCATATCGATCGATGCAGCCATTAAAAAGCCTTTTGAATAGCAAAATTCTGCCACCACAAATAGATAATACTAGCTGGGCCCCCTTTCGATGAAAGGAATGATCGGTGCATTAACATCAACTGAAAGTCATTGGCCTACTATAATTACACTCTACTGGAATGGAGCAATAAATGTTGAGAGATGCAAAAAATTAGAAGGTCTAGATCTATACTCTCAAAACAAAATGCTCCTCGCGAAATATCACTTTCAGATTTTCTAAAATTACAGAGACAAAAGCGTCGGCCTACAAAAGCGATCGGCGAAATAAAGAAATTTAGCTTTTTGCGGCAAAACTGTCTCAAAACTGAAAAAACCAATGGCGTCATGATCTGGAGAATATTTTAAAGAACCTTTTGGCGAAAACCGCATGTCGATCGATGCAGCCATTAAAAAGCCTTTTGATTAGCAAAATTCGGCCACCACAAATAGATAATAGATAAGAGGCTTACGTAAGCTATGACAGAAATTTAAAAATAAAACAACAACCCCGGCCTATCAGCGAGCTTTGTGGCAGAGGTTTTTCTGTCTCAGCAAAACGTGTGAGAACCCAGAAAGGGTCAATTATACTTCTGAGACTAGCGGAAAACGCCGGGGAAACTTTAGGAAAGAAATCGAACTCTTCGTCTGGGTTTATCTGTGAGAAATAGATCGTGAGTTTTCTGATGTCATTTCAGGATCTCCACTGTGAAACTGGGGGACCCGCCAGGGGTCTTAGTAAATCGTTGTGTCAATAGACAGAAGGGGAAAAAAGGACTAACGCTTGAATTGGGGCGTTTTATTAAAGAAAAGAGATTGCTTGTCTAAATTGGGACTTTGTTGAGAGAATTGGTGTGTGTGTGTGTGTGTGTGTGTGTGTGTGTGTGTGTGTGTGTGTGTGTGTGTGTGTGTGTGTGTGTTCGGGGGGGGGGGGGGAGACCTTGGAGATGGAAAAAAGTTAATGTTTATATTGTGAATATTTTTGATTTTTCTACGGTTGGTTTTATTTTTTTTCTGGGGGTTGGGGGTGTCTGTCCGCTGCTTTTAATTTTGCTGTCGGTGTAAGCCTCTACCGAAGTGGTCTGGTGGAGTGGTTAGACCTTTCACTTGATGATAGAGGTAAAGTCGGTTCGTATGAGAGAATAGCATTCGTAAAATATTATGCTATTCCTATGGCCCGGATGTATGCCGTCTAGCACGCGGGTATGCTCTGATATTAGCAGGCCGAGTCCCAAATAAGATAGATAAGATAATCATTTATTGATCCTAACAAAGAAATTTCGTGCACCAAGGAAAATAAATACACGCACATATCGTATTCGTCAACACAAACACACACACACACACACACACACACACACACACACACACACACACACACATACACACACACACACACACGCACGCACAGGCGCGCACGCGCAAACAAACAGCTATCTGTTTCCTTCTTTTGTCTCTGTCAATGTGTCTGTCTGTCTGTCCGTCTGTCTGTCTTTCTATCTGTCTGTGTTTCTTTCTCTTTCTATACACACACACATATATATATATATATATATATATATATATATATATATATATATATATATATATATATATATATATATATATGTATATATATGTATATATATATCTTTCTCACTCTCTCTCTCTCTCTCTGAGTGTGTGTGTGTGTGTGTGTGTGTGTGTGTGTGTGTGTGTGTGTGTGTGTGTGTGTGTATGTGTGTCTTACATAAACACTCATACATACGCAAACAAACACACACGAATAATCATTAAATGAACATACAATATTATGTTATTTTCTATCTCCTGAAGTAGATTATGTCGATGAGGGTGAAAAACACGTATAGTTTATTAAGCTTCCACCGTATCTCTTTCTTTATTGAGAACATGGTTCTTCTGCTTAGACGTTTTGTTCCTTTCAGCAAGGGTTGGCTTTGACAGGCATGGTTGAAGTATGCCTTACAAAAGATAATATTGATTAGTCTTTTCTGTATACAGAAGTGATGGCTTCTGTTCATAATAGCACCCTCTTCCGCCCCCACCACACACCTTTTTCTCTTCTCTTCAACCGCACGTGACTCGACAAAGCGTCCATTTATCTCAGGACTGACACCATCTTTTTCTCTTTATCTCTTCCACAGTTGTCGCGTCCATACAGACATGTCTCTGAACATTCCAGAACACCGCTTGTATCGACCAGATGAAATTCCAGCCTACAATGTAAAACCATGCCACGGACCAAATCGGAAAAGAAAGGCTGAAAAATGTTGACTGTTCTCTTCTGTTATTCAGCTTTCGAAAGAAACGATCGAAAAATTGAAATTTCGTGTTTTGGAGCGTAATCAATGGCTTTGTGCAGTGAGGTAGGGGGTCCCACGATAGGATCGAAGCTTGCCTCTCTCGTGAATGTGCAGAGTTTATAATTAAACGCGTCGCATCATGCCCCAGTTCGTTTGTTCATCTCGTGCTTTGAGGATGCTGCTTGTCACTTCCACTGGAAACCAAAATCTACGTAAATCAGCAAAATGATCTGTGATTGTTGGAATTATTTTCTCCACAAAAGCTACTAAGTTCAAAACGTGAATACTGAACACTGTTCTTTTTGGAGTTTCCAGAATCTGTGCATTTCCAGGCTCTGTGCTTCTGGTATTAGAGCCGAAAGAATCTTCTGTTTTGTGTTCCAAACTGTTGGATTGTCCGAATGTTTCAAGGCAAGCTATTAAATCTCGTTTTTTTTGGTAAAAGAACTTATCAACTTAGCTCAGCCGTCACAATTCAGAGATACATAGATAAACTCTCTTACGTTTGGTAGATTCTGCCAGGTCAACGTAAAAGAGCAAGTGACTGAGTTCAAATTTTGTAGCATCAAGAAGATCCCTTTTCAATAATTAGGTTTAATGCCAGTATTCTGTAATACCTGGACTGTTTAGTAAGCAGATTTAGTTATATTTTAGCTTACAAATGCTCTAATCAAATTTAACCACCCCGGCGTGTTCCTGAATCTTTCTCTAAAGTTTCGATTCTGACAGAATAAATAACAATGTGTGGAACCAGCCTAAGTTTCTTAGTCTATGCATATCTAAACCTACCCTTAGTAAGCGATTTATAGCGACATCTGTGGTTGTTTGGGTTAAAGGATTCACCATCTCACGCAAAAGACCTAGTTTCAATTCCCTTGCGGCAAGAATTTTAATGGAATGTCTCAGTCTTTCTGCTGGGACGTTGTATCAGCCTCAGCCCTGGTTGACCCCGACAGTCAGAGTCAAAGCTCGCCTCCTCAATGATATGAATTATGTCGATGAGGGCGTAAAAAGACTCATTGGGATCCACGATGTAACGTTGGTCGCCGAAGGCGCAGGTTCGATACCCGAGTGAAAATGGCATTATATCGAGAACCTATGCAAGGCTGCTAGGGTGTTGTCAGTGAGGGCCAAAGCAGCTCCCCTTCTTAATAAGTTGAGTTGTATCAATGGGGGCGTTAAGGGGAGGCAGTACCACCGTCTTTTAAAAATCATTAAACAATTATCGTTAGAGATTGAGATAAGCCATTTGGTCAGTGAAAGTAAAACGGATTTTTTTTCAACCGATATAAGTTTTTAACCATATGTTCAATGAATTCTGGGGGAGGGGGTAAAAGTTATTTTTTTAATATGAAAGAAAACAAATCTTTTGATCTTGGCTTTTTCATGATTTTCTTCCCAAGATATTAAATCCATATTAAACATTCATGTATACCAAAGCCATACAAAGGATATGTACTAGAATAGTTCACGTATCTTTCTCATAATTGCCAGACTATCCTTTGGAAATTGGAAATTAGTTTCGAGTTTTCGAATTGTCGTAGAATGTAGTTTTGTCAATTTCTAAGATACATCAAAACTTTTGATACAATTTTTGCACGTAACGTTATTTGTAAGCAGGCAAAATTTTATGAAAACTGATTTTTTAAATACAATTTTGTGGTAAAAATAGTGATAATACGTACCGTTTTCGAGCGAAAATTCAGATACAATAATTACTGTGCCAGAGCAAAAATTGCTTTATTCTATATTGTAGGAGTGATTATCATAGCTGACCCAAAATCAGAAGAAAATATTAGTGAAAAACCCCCCACAAAAGTATATTCAAGTTTTAAAAAGTTTGATACGCTGCAATTACTGCTCGCTTCATGTAACAAGCTTAAAGCAACATTGAATTCGTGATTCGCTACTTTCGCACTTTGTACAGCTGCATTGCCGCCTTAAATATCTACGAGGTTAGATTAGAAAAGAATACAAACATAAAACGTTCAGAAATCACAAACTGCCAACAAACGCAATTTCAAACATTCGCTTTTGCCTTGGCTGAGTCATGGAAGTAAAGGTTCAAATAGTGACTTGATATCGCGAACCCGTTTCGCTTTCGCTGCTCACATGTGGATTGGCTTAAACCTAAAACGCCGATGTATTGGACATCAATATTTCAGCTACAGATAGTGGGGAAAACCCATAAAGCGTGACGGTTGGGTACTAGAGTGTCAGTGTCATAAAGGGCAGCTCGCGGTGTTTGTTTTGTTTTGTTTAGTTTTTTGTTTGTTTTGTTTATGTGTATGTGTGTGTGTGGATGGGTGGGTGTGCGTGCGTGGGTACACTGTGCGTGTACGTTTGTGTTTGTAATAAAATTGATTTTGTGGTCGTCCGCTTGTTGTTGGGGGGGGGGGTGTATTATTAAGATATTACGCCTACTTAGACGGAGATTCTACATAGTTTCATCATAATATACTAGTTTATTGTTGCCATGACAACGTTGCCATCTTGAATTCCAGTTTACGAAACAGCTCCTAAAAGGACAGCTAATTACTTCCCTGATTCAAGAGTAACGATTGTGATCTGCTGACTTTGGAAGTTTTGGATAAGCTTTTAGTGAAAGTAGGAATTAAGAAATGTCTTGCCGTTTTTCTTTTAAATTTGTATTTTCATCTTTTTTCTGAATTATATGGCAATACCGGTGCAATTACATACGGAGAACTGTTAGATAAATTATAATCTCTCAAATCGCTTTGTCATTATCAATATAAACAGTCCTCTCTGTAGGGCACCTCAGTAACAATAAAGGTGAGATCTTAAGAATTAGCATCACACAGCATACCGGTCAGCCCGCCAATTATCCAAAGTGACAGTTTAATAACATGAAAAAGGTCTCGCTATAAGACATGACTTTGATCTTAACTGTGTCGATGAGGACGTACAACGTAATTTACAGTTTTTAGAAAAAATAAATCCTTATTCCCCACAGTCGATCACTGGGCTTTTAAAAGCTATGCTATGCCTGTTGAAAACTTGTCTTTTTTTTCAAATTCTTTTATGCATCCGGTATTGAAAAAAATGCGAATTTAAAAACTTTGTTCAGTAAAAGACACACTTTTCTCTTGGCAATGTTAATAAGTCTCAAGTTGTTTATTTCACATAGGATTAGAACAAGAATTAACCATTAATCGTTCAGAAGTAATAATTGATTTTTCATACCTTTTTGTCTCTAATCCAAATCCAGGGTGAAAAGCATCTGATGTGTTCTGCTGCAGTGAAATATGACCAGGAATTATATCGAAGCTGGCGTGTTGTGTAAGCGCTGTTGGTAGTTCTACTATTTTCTGAATTCCATTCACCGCTTTGTGAAATTCTTGAGGAGACATTATGAGTAAGATGTACAAGCACGGATCGGAACCTGACGGTTCCTCGCAGGCCATGTTGGCGTTGTCTGGAGCAAAAGGCAGTGGTAGCGGAACCACGACACAAAACTACGGGAGTAATGATGGAGGAGGGGGAGAAGGAGGAGGAGGAGGAGGAGGAGGAGGAGGAGGAGGAGGAGGAGGAGGAGGAGGAGGAGGAGGCAGTAGGGGTAGCAACGGTGGAGGAAGTTCTGGAGGTAATAGTGGCGGAAGTGCTGGCGGAGGAGGGGGAGGAGGAGGAGGAGGAGGAGGAGGAGGAGGAAGGTCAGAAGGAGTGGAGTTAAAACCCCAGACCAAATCTCACAGAGCGTCCACCTTCCTCCCCTGCCCACCCCAGCTCGCCGCCGCAGCGGACCCCCCAGCAACCAGAATAAACATCCGACGGCTTCTCAAACGAAGCAAATCGTCTCGTAACGGCTACCCAGGCATGCTGGGTCATTCCATGGAGGTGGAGTACTCGCCCTCCTCCACCACATACCCCCCGTCCCTGGAGTCCCGGGGTTTGACTCCCATGGCCGACAGAACGTACAATAAACTGCTGCAGAACAAAGTGATTCTGGGACGTATACACGGCAAGACCTCCATTCAGGGCCGGATATACAACTTCCTAGAGCGGCCTACAGGCTGGAAATGTTTTATATACCATTTCACTGTGTAAGTATATATTTTTTTTCTCTTTTTGTCTGTCGCCTCTTCTTTTTCGTTCCCTTCCTTCTCTCTCTCTCTCTCTCTCTCTCTCTCTCTCTCTCTCTCTCTCTCTCTCTCTCTCTCTCTCTCTCTCTCTATCTCTCTATCTCTCTATCTATCTATCTATCTATCTATCTATCTATCTATCTATCTATCTATCTATCTATCTATCTATCTATCTATCTATCTATCTATCTATCTATTAGTAAATGTTTTACGGCACTCTTGCAACACACGTGTGTCCTTTTAGTGTTGGAGATTAGTGATTTTACTAGAGAGTAACGTACAACCGAACAACCCACTCTGTGTGTTCATAACTTTCATTCCACAGTGTGAGTACAGCGTTCATATTTTTGTTTGTATCGAACTATCTTTTCATTGTGTGAGTACAGCTTGTCTTTCTTGAGGTCGACAGATTTGTATTTTACTCTGTGTTGAAGAGATTGTCTCTTAGAAAATTTGATTTATACACTATACAGTCAAGCAATGTGAGTATGCCTTGTTCGGTCTTCCTTTTTATCACCCTTTTTTGTAAAAGAAATTGCCCGTGGGAAATATCTACTATTTCGCAGTGTAAGTAGAACTTTGATCTTTAGGCCGAGAACATTGCCTCTGGAAAACGCCACAGTACTATTCCATTGTGTAAGAAGCACACCTTTGATCTTTCGAGGAAAAAATCAGTAGCAAAATTTTTTCAATCCCATAAATTAGATCGAGAGTCCGTGTATTTTTGCGGTATGTTTTAAAACTGTCTGTATGTATTTGTTATTGTTGAGAAGTGTACGATTACTATGGTGTTTCGCTTAGTTGTTTATGCTGTTGTATGAATTAACGTACGTGTCTCAGTGGATTTAGCTGACGGTGCTACTGCCTGTTGATGGTGCCACGTTTCTAACACTTAAAGTTAACTTGCGCTTAAGGGTGAATAACAAAGAAAACCTCCAGGAAAGATGAAACGCAAAGTGGAGAGGGGGTGAGGAGGAGGTGCCGGGGGGGGGGGGGGGGTTGGAGGGAGTGGAAGGGGGTATGTCATAAAACGTAAAGTCTAGAGGATTTGTTTTCTTTTTTTTAGGGGGGGGGGGGGTGTTTATAAAGGCAATAGGTAGGAGTAAGGTGCTTTAGATTTTAAGTAAATTTAAGATGTTTAGCATAAGAATCAAATATTTTTTAGACTACTGTACATTTTGTGAGAGTTAATGTTTTACACCCTCAGCAGGTAAACTCTTTGATGTAAATTAGTTTCATTTTGTCCGCGTTTGACAACTTCAATACCCGGAAATTGTATATGATACATGATTCCATTGCCGCCAATGCTGATGAATTGTTGACCAATAGGTTGACAGGATTTTGTCTGTTCAGATTATTTGTGGTTATTGACCCCAGCTTAGAGGACAAGAGGTGTTAAGGCCACATATTGACAGGGCAAACTCTACACGTAAAATAATAATAATAATAATAATAATAATAATAATAATAATAATAATAATAATAATAATAATAATGATAATGATAATAATAATAATAATAATAATAAAAATAATAATAATAATAATAATAATAATGATAATAATAATAATAATAATAATAATAATAATAATAATAATAATAATAATAATAATAATAATAATAATACTATGTCGTGGTTAATGACTGATACTGCTCCTAAATAGCCTTTTAAAATTGATGTCTTCTAATTAGTTTGTTGATGTCATGTTATCGCAGTGTTCACAATAAGTTTAATCGTATGAGTATATTTGAGAAAGTTTGTTCATTTGGTTTTTAAAAGATCTTTATATATGTATATTTTTAATCAATTAATTATTAATATATGTGAGGCAGCGTGGTGGAATCAGGCTCTCGTCAAAATAATCAAAGTGAAGAAACTTGCATTTTTCCACAGGTTTGTGAATTTTTGTTTTTTGGCTGAACACCTTTCATGCCCATTAAAGAACTCATTTCAGTGTGGATTTTTTCTGAAAAACGTTGATTAAAGGCACAAAAAATGTAAATTTTCAGTTACCACGGACTCTTGAGATAAGGAAATAACTAATCTTTGGCGGCATTTTTCTCACTAATTTTACCTCTAAAAACAGGTGACCCCTCCTCCTTCATTCACAAAAATATCGACTTGTATTCAAGATAAATGGATATTTTTTTCATCCAAATAAAGGCGAATAAACGATGATACCAATAACTCTACATGCCCAAAAAGTGCCGAGAGCCTGTTTCCACCACGCTGCCTCACAATATTTTTTTGGGGGGGGAGGGGGTATTAACGGCTTTAGTACCTGGAGTTTGATAAGAGGGAAGTTTTTGAGAAAATTATTTGTTTGATTGCAGGCTTTTACTCATCGCCGTTGTCATCGTCATTGTTATCGTCTTCCTCCTCCTCTTCCTACTTTTCCTCCTCCTCATCCTCCTCTTCGCATCTTCATAATCATCACCATCATCATCATCTCCCTGGTCTGTTTTGCGTGAATTTGTTTTTTACTTACCGTAACGCAGCAGGTTCTTAAAATTCCGCTTTCAATTTTTTGCTTGTCTGCGTGATCCCTGTAATTTCCTCGGGCACTTGTCCTAGATTTAGGTCGCACGAACTGATCTCACATTAAATCCATAGATTTGTGCGTATCAATTGACACTTGACAGTACCGCCTCGTGAACCCGACCTAATTTCTTTTTGGCTTCAACACTCGATGATTCTTTTTGTTGCTGACGGAAGTCACGAATGATATTTGTTGGGGGTTTTTTTTCAGCCAAAGTACGTCGACATAGTTACCATCTTCAGCGACGCTATGTATCGAGCTAGCTCGTTACATGAAAGAGTGAGTTACAAAGCAATAATACAAGCGCGTCTCTGGTACAACTCATTGAGAACTCTCATATTTTTTGCACACTTGAAGACGTACTGGGGTTTTTTAAAAAGTGTTTTATAGAAAGAGTTTTACGACACTTTCAACGCAATAAGGTTATATAAGTGCAGAATTTCAGCTTTCTTTTGGGGGTACTATGAAAAGAAGCATTTCTTCGTTATTTGAAAAAACAAAAAGCTACTCTTCTCTTTTATATTCTGTATTATAGTATGCAACTTAAAATATCAGGCAACAGCATGTGTGAACTATGAACTATTATATGGATTCGTTTTTCTGGTTGGTCTTTGACGGTTTCAAACGTGCCTCAACACTGTTTTGATCGTCTACTGAGCGCCTATAATTGAAGTGTCCGTTACGTCCATAAACAGCTCAATTTTTTTGCCTGTACTCTTAACGAGTGGGGGAAGTACCATTTTATCTAGCGTCCCCATCTTTTGTTTCTTGAAGGCGCATTGTCCTGTAATGCGCGCAGGCTTTGTGGATAGGGGTGGAGAGTCTAGACTTTGAGACTGTCTCAGTTGTTTCGATGCGGTGTGAAACGCGACAGCATGTACACACACACACATAC